ACATGTGAGTTAAAATGGTTGAAATCCCTTTTGGCTTGTTTTGGGATACAGCATGTGCGTCCCATGTGATTGTTTTGTGATAGTCAAGTTGCTCTCCATATAACGGCTAATCCGATTTTCCATGAAAGAATGAAACATCGAAATGGATTGTCACTTTATTCGTGATGCATTGTAAGATGGAACGATTTCTACGTCTCATATTCGGACTGATGCACAGCTTGCAGATATTTTGACCAAAGCTCTCGATAAATCACAATTTTCTTTACTTCTTTCCAAGTTGGACATTTGCAATCTCCATGCTCCAACTTAAGGGGGAGTATTAGTGGAATATCTTGGTAGTTAATGGAATATATGGAATATATCTTTATAATTACTCTGTGAATATTTTCTAAGCTACAATATATCAAGATGAGATATCTCCTTGATATGCTTTCATAAATTAGTTTTATTTGTTTCCTAGGTTAGCTCTGCTATTTATGAAAATGCTAGAAAAGCTTTGTATATATTCATGACAATGGTAAAATTCAATAACAGAGAATCATTCCACAAAATTCTAAACGAAGGAACTCTACAACTCAATGCGATTGGTTGTTTTAAGAGTTCTATTTAGACACTCAAATTTCAAGACACACTCAACCAACACTCAATTTTAATTTTTTTTTTCATTTTGAACTATTGCTTTACCTTAATTTTTTCATGTAGTAGTACACTTGAAGAAAAATAAAATATTTTTTAAGGGTGTTGTACCGTTATTGGAGTGGTTTTTGACTTATATAGAAAGGGGTGTAAGTGGGTTGGATTGGATCGGATTTGGATAAATTTGTTACCTGATCTAATCAAAATTTAATAGGTTGGATTTGTGCAATTTTTTTAAAAATCCAATCCAACCTAACCCAATCACGAATGGATTGAGTTAAGTTGGGTTAATCAGATCAATATAATTATATTTATTTATTTATTATAAAATTTAAATATTTCAAAATTGATGTAAATCACTTAATACATTATTGTAAATTCTATGTTATCAATCTATAAAACAAACAATGATACAAATTAAATTTTAAAATAAATTTATTAATTTGTTACATTATTATCAACTCAAAAAATCAACATTAATTAACGCTAAATAAAATTTAAAATAAATATATTATATTGTTATAATGTTATCAACCTAAAACACAAAACTTATTATTAAATAATAGTAACCAGTATTTTAAAACTCGGGTCAAACCGGAAACTGGTGATTTGATCGATCCGAACTGTTGATCAGACCGGATGTGCAGTTGACTTGGTGTGACCCGATTAAAATCTTGATTGAACCATCGACTCGTGGGTTTCATGACCCAAATCGAAAAATAAACGACGTCATTTTTTTAATTTGAAAAATTTAGAATTAGAATAAATCCTTCAATTTTAGAATGCCCCTGCTGCACGTTGCGCTTAGCCGCTTAGGCTTCTTGTTTCCCAAATTCTAAGTTCTTTTTCAGATTTTGATTTTGAGACACAAACCCAACCCCAATTTCACTAGTTGCAGTTGCAAAGGCTTGTTGGGTTGTTCATTGTTACGTTGCTAACTTGTCGGGCCACCGTTTGCCATTCTGCTATCGTACCACCGCACCGTCGCATCGCGCACCGTTGCATCGCCGCACAACTGCACCACTACACCGTCGTATCATCGCAGTATCGCATCTCCGCATCGCTGCACCGCTGCCCCGTCGCACCACCACACCGTCGCATCAAGTTATAAGGTTCATTAATTGGATTTTTGATTCAAGTTCATTGAGTTTATGCAAAACAATCCACATCATATTATGAAAATCAACGATCTTAATATACGCTATAATTTGTAAAATACTTATATTGTTAATATTTTTTAATTAAATTTTAAAACTGTTTGTTGATAGTTCGATACTTTGTCTCTCATCAAATCAATAATAATTAAATTACAATTTTAATACTATACTATGTATTTAGTAATAAAATAAGTTGGATAAAACTATAAAGTAAACGAATTTGATGATAAAAATAATTCTAATTATAGTACAAATCATAAATAATTATATATTAATTGAAAATTATAAGTAAAAATATATTAATTAAAAAAATAAATTTTTTTTGGACTTTTAATTTGAAAAGTAATACAGCAAAGAATTTGCATTGATTCAAATAAAGACTAAAGTAAAGAATGATGGTGCATAATTATGGTAAAAAACAATAGTGGTAAAATGTATTATTTAATATTGGTACACCATGCTTTATAATAGCTTCTTTTTGGTTATTAATTTGGTTGCTTTGACATTATGTTAGTTGTTCTTTGAATTTATAATTTGGTTGTTTTTAGCATTATGTTATTGTTAGTTGCTCTTTGACTCTATAATTTGATTGTTTTAGCATTATGTTATTGTTAGCTGCTCTTTAACTCTATAATTTAATTATTTTAAAATTATGTTATTGTTAGCTATTCTTTGATTTGCTTATTATTATATTGATTTTGGTTTATTTAATTTACAATAATTTTTTTGTTGGTTGTTATTGCATGATATTTTTATATTAGGTATGACAACTGGTAAAACGCCATCATCATAGGAGGGTTCTACTCAAAACTCTGTCCAAAAGAATATTAGAAGGAAAACTGATATAGTTTGGGGGCATTGCAAATTGCTGAAAGAGAATGAAAAATCTATTATATTAAGCATATATTGTGATAAAGTTATTCGGGAAGGTGGAATTAATAGGTTTAAGAGTTACTTGGCTGGTGAGAAAGGTCAAGTTGAACAATATAAAAAGGTTCCTACAGATATTCGTTTTCAGATGAAACAAAACATTAATGAATGCAACAGCAAGAAAAGAAAAATTCAAAAAGGATGAAGTTCCTCTTTCCCGCCTATTGAAGAAGGTGATAGTTACCGACCAAAAGAAATTTGAGATTTCCCATGTACATCGGTTTAGCCAGCAAAATTGAAATTCCTAGTTGAGAAATTCATGGGTCAACGTTGGTAAAAATCAATCGCTTTTTAAGGAGGTTGTAATATGGAAAATTCAAATTTTCACGACGTTGAGAAATTTTACAGAAAAAAGTAATTAATTGTCAACAAAATTCTTTGTTTCAAAATACCAGCTAGTCGTTAAATGTAATTATTTAAAAAAAAATATATTTAATCATTTTCCAAAAATATTAAAAAATACTACAATAAATATTACATATCATGATATCATAACTTATAAAAAAGAAAATGTTACTATAGATACATTATATATATAGTGGAAAATCTATTTGGCATATATGCACATAATTTTAGTATTGATTTTGAATGAGATTTAATAACATATTATAGGTGTTATTATAGTCAATATCTACGTATTTTAACAATATACCAACATATGTTATATCTAAATGTATATTTTAATAACAAGTATCATGTTATTATAAAGTGTTATTACATAACAAAAAATTTGTAATTTTAAGAATTAATATTTTCTTAATTTTTAGAAAAGATGAATATTATTTCTTATTAACAATAGATTATACTCTTTGGTCTCACAACAAGAGTTGTATAAGAAAAATAAATTAATCTCAAAATAAGTGTCATTTTAACTTTTGAATGCAATAATAATTATCTGTTTTTTACTAATATATGTTTAACAATATTTTTTGTATAAGTTTTTAATGTGCTACATAATTATAACAAAATAAGAAAATTAATAATAAATTTAGTATTTTATAATTATTTTTTCATCTATTTATTAATCCCTGTTAATTTGGTAAATAAAATATATTAAAATATATTTTTAGTTCATATAATTTCACTTTTTTTTATCTTTTAATCTATGTAATTTAAAATGGAGATGTTTAGTTTCTATACTTATCTTTTTAATCATTTTTAATCTGTATAATTTAAGATAAACTTTTTTAATCTTTATATTTGTAATTTTTTAAACATTTTGTTCATTATTATTATTTTTTTATAACGTTATCTCTTTTATATTAACATGATTAATGTATTCAACTTTGTGTTTTTGATGTTGAATTAATCTTGTTAAAATTATTTCAAATTAAATTTTTTGACGTTTTGTGACTTTTTTAACACTCATTAGCAACGCTTACTATTTAGACATTTTTTTTTATTATTTACACAAAGTTGAAAGATCTAATTTAAGGTAATTCCAATAAATAAAACTGATATTAAAAATATAAAATTGAATATCTTTACTATGATAGTGTAGAAAAGACGATAAAGACTAAAAAATATTAAATATAAAAATTAAAAATATTAAATACATATTTTAAACAATAAAAATAAAATAAAAAAAAATAAGTATGAGAACTAATCATTTCTATTTTAAATTATAAAATCTAAAATATGAAGTAAGTACAATTAGAAAGATTAAAAAAATAGATTTCTTAGTACAAGACGAAAAGTGAATAAGAATTCTATAAATTACGACTAATAAGAGAATGTTAAAAAAAAGGAAAGAGATGTTAGCTCTTCTCCAGCAATATATCGGGTGAGTTATCTGACACTTATAATTATATTTAATAAATTTATAGATAAAGTAATTACTGTGAAACAAACATTAAACAAATTGACATTTCAACCTTGTAGTTACGTTTCCTCTCATTAAAGAATCATGTCTTTACATGATTTGTGTCACGTGCGTAATTCTCATTTTGGACATATGTAATTTTATATTATGGAAACGTTGAACCGCTGGTTGGAATCGATAATAGATGTACGACAACTTGAAATCGATCTTCTTTGTTGTTGTTACATAATAATAATATACACGAAAAGAAATATTAAGAAAATGTTTGAAAGAATTCAGAGATATCGACGAAAGATCTTATTGAAATTTATAAAAACAATTAATAATTAAAAAAAAAAAAAAAAAATTGGTTATTGGAATAACTTGTATGATGAAATTGATGTTGGATACATGTTTATATAATAAAATTATAGGAAAGACATGATTAAGGTTGTTAATTAAATAGGCAATCTAAATTGAGTATAAAATATTTGGATTTGGAGAAAGGTAAACCAAAATCCAAAGGGTATATAGAAAATATAAGATTGTATGCAGATAAAGGAGAGAGGGCATTAGATTCCCTAATAAGCAACAGAGGGAAGGGCACCCACCGAAGCAGCAAGCAAGAGAAAAAGCGAGAAAAGAAAAAGAAAATAATATAACGTACAGCAGCATATGTTACAGGCTTACAGCTATGATCTATGGGATCTAATCTAACCTCATGAGAATGGCAGATCTAAGACCCTCTTCGCTCCTCATGGAATTGGGAACCTTAAACACCACATCCTGAAGCATGAGATCGTTAACGGAGGACATGCTAGCGTGGTGCACCTGAAACTCCAAGTCACGCAATGCACCCATAAGCCTGGCGCCGGGGTGGTTAACATTCTCGGACTGAACCCTCACCATGGCGTCGGGGCCCACAATCTTCACATCCACCTCAAGCCCTAGGACAAGCCCTTGGTCGACCACTGTGGACGTCGTGGCAGTGCTCTGGTTGTCCGTGGTGTCCGCCATTTCTGTTTTGACCTTCTTGTTGGTCTCCCTCTGCTGCTGCGACTCCAACAACTCGATCTTCGCTTTCAGCTGGTTGATGTAATCCACGGCGTCGGATAACAGAGAAGCCTTGTCCATGCGCGAGACGTTCGGGACCACCGCCCGCAGCGCGTAGAAGCGGTGGTTCAGCTTCTCTCTCCGCTGTCTCTCTGCCTCGACGTGGTTGGTTGGGGTGTCGCGGCCGGGAACGGGTTTTCGGCCTCTCTTTTTGGGTTCGGCGAGCGTGGGCAACGTGGGAGTGGGGCAGTCCGAATCGGAGTGTTCGGAGTCGACGTAGGAAGAGGTGTTGTTGTTGTTGGGAGGTGTTTGGGTGAGTTTTCGTTTTTTGGTTTCTTGGGTGCCGGCGACGTCGTCGGCGAAGGAGAGGGTTTGGTGGTTGTCGAGGGGAAGCGGGTTGGGATTTTCGAAGAGGGACTTGACGTGGTGGACGAGGGACCAGTTTTGTTTGATGAAGTCGTAGGAGCCCATTTCGACGACGCCGTTTTGCGTGGGGATGCAGATTAGGGTTTGGATGCCGTGCACGTGGGCCTCGTTGGTTCTTTCGCAGTTGTAGAATTGGAGGTCGTGTTTGTTGTTGTTGAGCCAGAGCACGGAGCCTTGGGCTAAGGATTTGCCTGGGAGTGAAGAAGAAGAAGAAGCATTGGTGACGGGGAAGGTGCGAGTCAAGGACATGACGTAGAACCACTCGGCGTCGTTGATGTTGTTGTTTGTGAGCTTCTTAGGGGGGAGTGATTTAGGGGAAGTTTGTTTGTGGGTGGCTTGGAAGTGACCCTCTCCGAAGGATAAGAAGAGGTTGCCATTTTCGTCGTTGGAGGCCTGCCAGAAAATGGCGTAGACCCACCATTCGGGTTGGGTTTGGAGTAAAAATTGAAGCTTTTGCTGAAGGGTGAGCGTTGGGGATGGGTTTTCATGGGATAGAGAGATGAGGGAAGAGGATGAAGAAGGAGAGATGATTAGGTCCTCCATGGGAACAAGAGTGTGTGTTTGTGGAGTGATGAGGCTGGGAGAATGAGAGAAAAGGGTGAGAAGGGTTGGGCATTAATAGAAATAAAGAGGGGGTTTAAATGATGTACGGATGAACAGTCCTTTTAGCGTAAGGAAATTTGGAGAGGAAAAACTGTGATTTGTGATTTGTGATTTGTGGGTTGGGGTCCTTGGGGAAAGGGGGGTTATATGGGGAAGGAAATAGTGGAGGGGCAAAAGAGTTAAAATTAGTTGGAAAATAGGGTCCAAATGAGGTTGAGATGCTGTAGGAGGTATTGGGCACCACGACCACGTGAACTGAAAGCGAGACCTGCACTGACGCACGCACATAGACTCTCACTTCTTTGCAAACAACACAGCTGCTACTACTTCTACAATCAATCAATGTGTTCAATTCTTCCAATACCATTTTTCATGTATATACCTTAAGAAACATATCATTCTACATGTAAAAATCTCATTTCTTTAATTTTTATTATTCCTCTTAAACATTCATCAATTCTATTCTCATTTTATTCATAATTGTATTCTTTATATTTACGATCAACTCAAGTATTATGCTAGGTTGATGTTCCTCAAGCCTATTCAACTTTGGAGAATTATATATCGTTCCCAAGCAAACCCTCTTGCTTTAATCGTTCGTGCTCTTCCATCATAATGAATGTTCAGTCGACACATAATTATGAGGTACAGATACTTAATAGATTATTGGGAGGTCATTCACAATAATAACAACGTCTTGATTTATAAGATTAGATCCGTAATTTTACTAAAACGTTTTAAAGAATTTAGTTGTTGATTTTGGTCTAATATAAAGTTATTTTTCTGTCTTAATTTAAACTTTCACTTAAAAAAAAAAAAAACTATAAAGTTTTTAAAGCTAAAATTTTGGACTTGCATAGTACTAAGGTATTTAGAGGTACTCTTTTATATTTATAAAGAAACATGATTGATTATTATTAATAAAAAAATATTTTTTTATTTACAAAATTCAAATCCAAAATTAAAAGTGACTCCACGTTAAAAATCATTAGTACCATTACCTCACGTGTTGTGTTCCTTAACCACGTACTAGAATATGATCCTGATTTAGACATTAATCTGTGGTACACGTCATCTTTATAGATATATTAGAGCATCTACAATAGAAGTTGCTTATAAGCAACTCCCAACCACTTTAAATGGGTTCTACTGTGCTACATCACTCATAAGCAACTCATACTATATTTTTACAACTTTTACCCCAATGGCAATTGCTTATAAGCACCTCAACTTTTTTACAACTTATATTACACTTTTTGACACCTCAATTTTTTTACAACTCATATTTCAATAATAAAAAAAATTACATAATAAAAAATATATCAAAACTTTTAATAATAAAAAGAAATTTTTACCTCTCCAACAGCTCTCCAAAGTTTATTTTTTTTTATTTACGTCTATCAACTCTCTTCTCCCACCGCACTCTCTCTTCACTCTCTCTTCTCCCACCCCACTTTCTCTTCACTCTCTCTTCTCCCACCGCACTCTCTATTCATTCTCTCTTCTCCCACCGCACTTCTCTTCACTCTCTTTTCTCTGACTGGCGCGCGGAGGTGGTCTGGGCTGAGGGGTCGCGCTCGGAGGGGCACGCGGAGGGGTTCTGGGTCGCACGCGGGGGGGTTCTGGCGCTCGCGGTGGTTGCGGTGGTTCTGGCTGCCGTTCTGATCACGCGGTGGTCGCCGGCTGCCGTTCTGGTCATGCGCGGAGGGTGTCGGAGGAGACGAAGATGAACACGTTCTTTTCAAATTTTTTTATTTTCTTAAATCTGAACCATTTTTCAGGTAGATGCATTTTAACCAATCAGAGTTCTCTCCTTAATGCTAAGCAACGTGCCTTGTACAAGCAACACTAACAAATTTTTAAGCAACTCAAATGTCACCTAAGATCACTCCAATGGGAGTTTTTAATAAGCTCCGTATCTTATTTTTAAGACACAGCAGAAGCACCCTCCGCCGGAGGTGCTCTTAGTAAAAAGTTATATCTCTTTATTAAATATATAATAAATAAATAAAAAATTACTCTATTTTATGATCCAATTACTTACCGATAGTGAACGAATGTACGTGGCGTTGTAAGAAAATTACTTCGGATATTAAATAAAATAATAATTACTCCGCTCGCTCGATAACTGCCTTGTCCTTGTTTTTTATGACTTTTTAATTCCAAAGCAATAATTACGAGAGGGAACCACTTTTGCTTTTGACAATTATGTCCTGCCAGTTGGAAGAATCTGAAATATAAAATTAAGATTTAATTTTTTCTTAACAAATCAAAACCAATTAATTCATTTCATTTATAATTTCACCAACAAATACATCTAAAATCATAAAGACTAGTGTGCAATTTCAGATGTGATTGTTAATTTGTAAGCAACTAAATTTGAATTTATTTTTTTAATTTCTTAAATTTAAAATTAATTTTTTAGTCTATATAATTACAATTGTTTCTTGGGGGATTTCTTTGATCTCAATAATTAATTCATGCTGATCTATATTAAGAAAGATCAGATACATTTAAACGTTATTGATGCGATTCCATACAAGAGTACGACATGCCATTCTAATAAGAGGAGAAAATGTAGACAGATTTTAATTTATTGGTGGTCCATGCACCACTATTAATTGAATACATTTTTCTTTTTATCATTTATCGTCTTTTTCCTAATTCAAACTTCTCACAATAGTATATTTTGTTTAAATTAACATGCCACGTCATCGATAACTAACGGTCAATTAACAATTAATTAATAAAAAATATTAAAATAACATAATTTAAAAAATTAGAAGCCCTAATTACATAATTTAAAAAAAAAAGATAGGACCAAAATCACATATTAAACATTACAAGAAACTAAAATTACAATTTATCCTACAAATTAAGAAGTGTCTTGG